AGGCCCGCGTTCTACTCCCAGCAGCTGCTGCACAGCGCCACTGGCGGGCACGCGCCTGCGGACGTGATGCATGGGGTTGCCATGCTTGCCAAGGGGGACCTGTCCAGCGCTGGCACCCGAAAAGGGAACGCGGCTGCCTTTCAGGACGTGCGGATCGAGGACATCCAGCAAGAGATGATTTCGAGGACGTTGGACCTCGAGGATGCCCAAGACGTCATAAGTTCAATCGTGAAGGGGCACTCTGATGCCTTGGGAATCGACCCTGAAGACTTCGACGTTGCCAAGGTTATCAACGCGGATGTGGCCGCACATCTCGCGAGCTTGAACGCCAGCAAAGAATTGGTATACTCCTCGCTCTCGCGGCGCGGTCTCACGGCACTCGCTAAGCTAAGCCCTACTGGTTCGAGTCTCTACGCCCAGCAGGACCCGACAATTCCCAGGAGTCCCTCAGCGCATCATCTGCAGTTCGACCGCTCGCGCTCCGAAACCGACTTAGTGCGAAGTCGGTCGCTCGTGTCAGACTCGGTGATGCGAGCCCCTACGAAGGGCAGTCGCAAGATCAAGTTCACCGCCTCGACGATCATGGCAGTGCTCCGCGGCCGACAGATGGAGACGATCATTGCCGACATGCGGCTGAGCAGGCAGAGGAGGACGTCCCGGGCCAAGCTCAGTGACTGCGACCTGCCGCCCTCCTGCCAGCTCGCGCTGAAGGACTGCTACGAGGCGTGGGCCCACCTGGCGGCACGGAGGTCCAAGGAGCGCGAGCAGCGCGTCACCTCCTACATGGCCAAGGTGGCGGCGGACAGGGCGAAGGCCTCGTCCGTCGTGTTGCCGCCACGGGCGGCGGCGTGGAGGACGCAGGAGGAGTACCGACAGCGCCGGCGCCAGTGGATGATGCGGTACTCCTGGCTGCCCCTCGCGATGCACGCGACTCGCAAGTGCTTCGAAGTCTGGAGGGAGCTCGCAGAGGCCGCGAGGGCCCGCAGGGTGGGGCCCTCCACGGCGATGAAGATCTTGAAGACCGTCAGCCCGGTCAAGGCCTACAGCGCGGGCATGTACAGCCCGAGCAAGATTTTGAGCTGGACCAGGAGCACCAGCCCGCACTCGGTCGACACCGAGCACAGCCCCCACAATACGAAGCTGTGGGACAGCGTCGTGAAGAAGGTCACCATGGGGGACAGCGAGGGCAGCAAGGCTGTCGTCATCGGCGAGCGCCTGGGGTCCGAAGACAGGGAGGGAAAGGCAGCGAGTGGCAGGGACCTGATCCTCAACCTCAGCTACATGGAGGGTATCTACGAGACGCGCGTTGCTGCCGCGGAGAGGCTGCTCGCCTTCTACGTCCTCTTCCACGCGGCTGTGCGCCCGGTCTCCCGCCTGTGGGGCCTCAGCTTCGACATGGACCGCAGCGAATCCAGGCTCCGCGTCGCCTCCACGCCTGCCCCGGTGCCCTTCGTGGAGAGCACGGACGCCGACGAGGAACCGCCGCCCCAGCACGACAGTGCGGTGCTCATGGACCCCCCCATGCTCGAGCGGGCGGATTCGGGCTTCGTCATCTAGCAGCGTGGCATGGTGCGGCTGCCGCGGCGCCTCGCCGTCAGACTCACAGGCTCCCGCGGCGCAGCGTTCTGCGCTCCCACGGGAGTTTCTGGGTGATTCTTGCGGCAAGCGCGCAGCCGCTATCGGCAAGCCCCGCAGCCGCCAGCGCAGCAGGGAGATGCATCCAGAGGATGTTGTTTCTACACGGGTCCACCACACCTTTGCTTGCTCCTGGCATGTTTCCGCGATGCTTTCATGTTGCTCCTCGAGCCGACAGTCGGCGCCGCGTATTGGCGGTGCACGCGGGCTCGGTCTTAGAGACCCCCTAGATGGTCACCGGATGACCCCACAGGCGTCGCTCACGTTGCATGCTCCGTCGGGGGCAGTCGAGCAGTCGTTCCTTACCCCAGGCAACCCTGCAACAGTCATATGCTCGCCCAGTCGCGTCGCGACGACTCGCGCATGGACTCCGTGCGAGATGTCGGGGTAGGTGTGATCATCTCTGTCTTCCTTCTCCTTTCTATGCGATCATGAATGCTCGTCTCTCGGGGGTGGACAGAACCCCCAACAGTGACACGTCGATTAGTGAATTGTCCGTTCTCGGTTCTCGAGAGGGCGCCGTGGCCGTCATTTTCCAGGCTTGCGCCCGCCAGGTTTGGGCCTCAGGTCGTTTTCACTAAACCACGTTTTACTAAAGGGAGGTCTGTCCATCCCCGAGAGTGCTCGTCTCTTCTCCCTATGTCCACATTCAATGTTTGACCCGCCCGTGTGCAAACCACTGCCAGAATTCAGGAATTTATTGCCTTTGGGCCGGGTGGCCAGCCACCTCGGCAGTTGTGCAGTTTCTTCAGCAACTTAGCCTTCGCGAGGTTGGTTCGAAGCTTAACCTTCCATTGCCGCTTCAGGAATGTATTAACTTTGGGCCGGGTGGTCAGCCACCCTGGCAGCTGTGTGGATTTCTTCTACAAGTTTTGTTGCGCGAGGGCCTTTTTGAAGCCAGGTTTTCCATGGCGGCTTCAAGTTGCGCGACGAGCACTCACCTTGTGCCGAGCTTGCGCGCAATGGCAATGTCGATGCAGCTTGTTGTCCCAGGCCTCAGGTATCAATTCATCGCCAGTCGACTTCTCCGATCGCGGAACGTAGGGTCGTACTTCTTGCATTGGGTGGAGCCCTGGCAGGTACGGCCGTGTCCTCGACGGGGACGATCGGGCGCCTTTCATGTCCCCCCTGCTCGTCTTTCTCCTCCTCTCTATCTCGGAACCCCATCTATTTAATTTCTCTAGTATTCCTCTCCTTCGTTCCGTCATCATTCCCGATCGTGTTGAACGCTGTAGCGAAAGAGGTGTCTGCTTACCCAGCGCAGGATACACGCTATCAGCTGCCCACGATTAGGTTACTCCGTTTGTGTCGCAAGCTGGCACGTTCAAGGGGTGCAGCTGCGGCCACCTTCGCAGGACAGCCCAACGTGGCTGGACGTTGCACTGCCGCGTCAGATGTATTGACTGCACCTCTGCTGCACCAGTTCCCAGGCCTGTGGACTCCGCGGCAAAAAAAGGCCCCAAGAGGGGGAATCCAGATTACATGTCGGGCCCTTCCCTAACGATGGCCGCCGAGACTGTTAAAGGGCCGCCAGGAAGCCCCTAGAGGCTCCCCCACAAGAGGCCCGAAGAAGCCTTCAAGATGCCCCCCAGTAGCCCCACGAGACTCCGACATTTCCCCCGCGAGCACGCAGGCAAGTGCCCCAATGCCTTTTCAGATGCTCGTAATGGGGGAATTTACATTCTAGAGCCACCAAACAGGCCCAGAGCAGTCTCGGTAGAGCCTCTGGCCCACCAAACAAGTATCCTGGCGACAGACCCGACCACGTGCAGTTGTGAGTACCGAAGTGCGGGTCACGCTTTCGGCGGGGCTCCCTGTGGGGCCACGGAGCGTGCGCTGCCGGTGGAGCCCCTTTTGGGGGCCACGGCGCGCGTGAGGGTTGTGCCGAAACGGGCGCGGCGGTGCCATGCGAACGCAGCTGCTGGGGCCTGCGGCGGTGGAGCTCCCTGCGGGGCCACGGAGCGTGCAAGAGGTGTGCTGAAAGCGGCGCGGCGGTGCCAGGCGAACGCAGGCACGGGGGCCTGCGGTGTGGCGCCCTGTCGGGCCACGCAACGGCACGGTGGTCTTTGGTGCAGCTTCCTACAAGGCCACAGCGCGTGGGAGGGAGGGCGTGCCGAGACAAGCGCGGTGGGGCCATGCGACGGCAGCCAGCGGGGCCGTTGGCGGACCCCCTGGTTGGGCCACGACACGGTTGGAGGCTGTGCCGAAACGTGTGCGATGTGCGGTGATGTCATGCGAACGCAGCCGTCGGCGCCTTCGGTGGAATTCTTTTTTGGGGCCACGAAGCGTGTAAGAGGTGTGCTGAAAGCGGTGCGGCGGTGCCATGCGAACGCAGCCACTGGGGCCTTCGGTGGAGCTCTGCATGGGGTCACGAAGCGTGTGAAGGGTGTGCCGAAACGGAGTCGGCGGTGCCATCCGAACGTAGCCACCGGGGCCCTCGGTGGGACTCCCTTGGGGACCGGGGACCATGGAGCGTATGAAGGGTGTGCTGAAATTGGTGCGATGATGTCATGCGGACGTCGCCACTGGGGCCTTCGGTGGAGCTCTCCATGGGACCACGAAACGTTTGAGTAGTGCTCCGACATGGGGGCGGTGGTGCCATGCGAGCGCAGCCTTTGGGGCCTCAGGCGGAGCTCTCTATGGGGCCACAAAGCGTGTGAGGGGTGTGCCGACATGGGGGCGGTGGAGGGCAGAGGCATTGATGGGAGGAAGGGGGAGGAGGAGGAAAGACGCGGGGCACTGTCTCTTCAAAACGAGGACCCTCACAGGATGGTTGGGATTTCGAACGGCCGAGAAGAGCCGCGCTTCCCATGGGCGCTTCAGAGGCCGCCACGATTGTCAAAGAACACGCCTGGAGAACGCTGATCATACACAAGCATTTCCCAGCCAGCAGCCCCAGACCCCAGATCCAAGCCGCCCACCGTTAAGCTCCACCAGGAACCCCTACGTGCAGGCACTGATTGGGGAAGCATGCGCAGCAGCTGCACAGACAGAGGCCGGCTCCTCTTCAATGGTTGGATATCGCCCGACATTGATTTGGAGTGTATTACATATGCTGACCTCAAAGTTGCAGAGGCGGAGGTCCGCCTCTGTAATGTTGAGGCTTGCAAGAAATGCAGAGGCGGGGGTCGGTATTGTTTGGAATGGAGCTCTCGCCTGAATCCTGAATAGCGAGCCTAAGGAGTGTTACGTAGTCTTCCAAACTGACGCCCCACGTATTTAGTGAAACGCATGGCTGGCATTGACGGAATTGACGTGTGAGCACGACGTTCGGGATTGGGACGGGAGGGTGTGTAGCATCATCGTCGACACATCCATCTTGGGTTTACTCTGATCCCCCTTCTTGAGTCCTCGTACCTCCTGAGGCGAGGCCCGCCAGGTGGAGGCCCTCGATCGCGAGCTGGAGCGCCTGCTGGCTAAGCGGCGCCACCACGAGCAGCGCCGCCAGGCCCATCTTGCGACCGTTGCGCGCGGATAATTAGGGAAAGTGCTTGAGAGGATAGGGGTTGTGATGTTCCAACCTAGTTTAGCCTTGATCGCCAGGAAGAATTTCGAGCACCAGAAAAGTACCGATTCTCGACAATTTTCACGTGTCGGGCCCCGGGAGACACTCGTCCGACACTGTTTCGCCACTCTTTCGACATTTTCCGGGTGCTCGAAATTATTTCTGGGATGTGGCCCTAAGTGCGATGAGAGCAACACAAGATGAGGGGAGGCCAGTGGAGACAACGGCGGCCCTTCCTGTCGTTTGTCCGTCCCTCTCCAGCCTCCTGGAGACTCCAGCCGGGCCAGGACGGACCCCGGGAGGGATTCCGATGCAGATTCCGAGCGCGTGGTGGGCCGGGCGAGGGCGCCGCCGTTGTCAGTTGGCCTTCCCTCGGGAGGATTGGGGGGAGGGCCGGGTGTGAGTGTGGTCCCGATAGCTTTCGGGAAAGGAGGAGGAGGAGGAGGAGGAGGAGGAGGAGGCGGAGGAGGAGGAGGAGGAGGAGGAGGAGGAGGCGGAGGAGGAGGAGGAGGGGGGAAGGGGGAGGAGTCGGAGGATCAGGGCAGCAGCAGCAGGGGAGAAGAGAGGGAGGCAGGAGCAGGAGTCAAGTCAGCCAGGTCGAGGGAGTCAGCAGGCCCCGCCTGCTCCCACTCTCCCTCCCGCAGCGTAGTGATGGACTGTGGCTCAACGTCATGTTGGGGCTGGAGCGCCATCCCGCCTCGCAAGCAAGGGGCGCTCGCGCGCGGCCCCGCGTCCGAGGACTCGGCGAGGAGGAAACGTATGCAGGCCCCGCGCAGGGGCGGGCACGGCAGCCCTTCCGATGGGCCCGGCGCAAACGCAACATCCACCGCGCTGGCACGACGCAGGAGGGAGGAGGATGGAGGTGGATGCAGGAGGAGGAGGAGGAGGAGGAGGAGGAGGAGGAGGAGGAGGAGGAGGAAGAGGAGGAGGAGGAGGAGGAGGAGGAGGAGGAGGAGGGGGGGGGGGAGGGGGAGGGGGGGAGGAGGAGGAGGAGGAGGAGGGGGGAGGTGAAGGGGCGAGCTCAGCACCTCGCCCGCCCTCGTGCGGCCCCGCTGCCGCTGTCGCGTGCATGCGGTTCGGCAGGCGAGTCATGCTCTGCGCCAGCGCTGGCATGCCACTGCCGAGCGAGATGCGAGCGAAGCTTGGGCGAGGGCGACACGTCGCCCACGCGCGCGACCCCTCAGAAGGAGCGAGCGAAGAATGTGCGCTTCGCCGGGGCGGGGCTGCCACTTTCAAACGACATCTGCGCGGCGCCAAGGCGAGAGCGACGTTTTCTTCCGTTCGCGTGTCGACGAGGTTGCGTGCGAAAATGGCGCCGCGTGCAAGCGGGACCACGTCTCTCGAGAAGATGTGCACGGCGCCGAGGCGATGATGATGTTGATGATGTTGCTGCTACTGCTGCTGCTGCTGCTGATGATGATGATGATGATGATGATGATGATGATGATGATGATGATGATGATGATGATGATGATGATGATAATTATGATGATAATGATGCTGAGGAGGAGGAGGAGGAGGAGGAGGAGGAGGAGAGGAGGAGGAGGAGGAGGAGGCGGGGGAGGGTGAGGAGACGAGGAGGAGGGGGGGGAGGGGGAGGTGGAGGGGGAGGAGGAGGAGGAGGAGGAGAGGAGGAGGAGGAGGAGGAGGAGGAGGAGGAGGAGGAGGAGGAGGAGAGGAGAGGAGGGAGGAGGAGGAGGAGGAGGAGGAGGAGGAGGAGGAGGAGGAGGAGGAGGAGGAGGAGGGGGAGGGGGAGGAGGGGGAGGAGGAGGAGGAGGAGGAGGAGGAGGGGGAGGGGGAAGAGGAGGGGGAGGGGGAGGAGACCCGTAGCAATATTAGCTCAAGGGGCCTGCTCCCTAACTATTCAATATTGCTCAAGGGGTTCAGCCCGTTTTTCGGCGTCGTGGGGCCGCAGCTCCCCTTCTGCCGTGTTCGCGCGATCTTCTGTGTAGCCATGGCGGCTTAGTGTTGGTTTGTGCAAAGTGTGGCAACAACAAACACCCACCGTGATTTAAGATGTGTGTACCACTGTCATGTTCCGCTCCTTCGGTTTGTGCAACAGCCTGCTTTCGGGCCTCAGTATCCAGCGTACTGGGGCAAACGCCGTCATGCGGGAACAGATGGTGGGGAGGAGCAGTACATCAGGCAGGTGGTTACAAGGGGGCAGATCCAATGGAGAAGGGGACGACACTAAATGCAAAGGCGGGCGTCATTAGGTAAGGGTGTGGACCCTCGCGGTGGCTACCCGACCCCACCTTCTGCCAGGCCAGGACCAACGATTTGCAGAGGACCCCATTCACGAAGAGTTGGTCGGGCCGCCCTCGTCGATTTGGGCCACAATCGTTTGAGCACCGTGTCCAACGCACCTTCACCCAGCTTAAGCAAGCAGCTATGGGCCCGACACCGGTCTCCCAGTTTGTACAGGTGGTTGGAGTTGGTCCAACAAGAGCGAATGGCCCAGCAACCCCCTTCACAGGTCATGCGGTGGGGGGGGGGGAACAATTGGTAATTCGCAGAAGCGGCGCGCGAACACCCAGGCATATGTTCAGGATATGACGGCAGCCATGACATCTCTCCAGCTGCAGAAGGATTTTCTTATGGAGCAGCGCAAGCCGAGTTCACCCAGCTCCAGCAGCAGCAGGCGGAGCGTCTTCAGGTGCATGCTCCAGGGCAGGAACAAGCATAGCAGAAGTTGGGTGCCCTTCTCCATGTCTTCGAAGATCATCCCGGCAAGGAAGCAACTCGGTAGATCATTTTACAACGCCCCAGGAGCAATGTTTGAAGTCAGTGGCTGGGGAGGAGGTCGAACCAGAGCAGGAGCGGCGCGTGCAGGAAGGAGGAAGTTGTGTCTCTTCCATGTCAGGTGGTTACTATGCTGACAAATCCTTGGACTAACTTAGTGCAGAGAGAGGCTACACCACCAAAGGTCCGAAGAGGCCTGCTGCGGGATATTTTGGGGCCCGAAGAAGTCCTTAGCGACGGGGAGGGAAGCCAAAGGCTGCAAGGGAGTCAGAGGTGGAGGAGAAGCGCCGAGGGGAAAAGCGGGGACAGGAGCAGCAGGCCCGACGCGCCCCACCCGCAGCACCAGCAGCGCCAGCAGCAGATTCGGCCCCCCTCCCAGCAGCAGCGCCGCGAGAAGCAGCGCGAGAGGGAGGTGGAGGAGCAGAGACGGCAGCTGCCCCTCCAGCTCGCATGCGGGGGGCCTCGGGGCCCCGCGGACGTCGAAGCCTGCTTGGTGCAGTCGGCATCGGCGGCGCGCCAGCAGGCGGCCCTATTCGGACTTCGCCGCATCCACGCTGGGGGGGCGCTTGTGGGCAGCAATCAGGCATGTGTTGTTCTTGTGCAGGAGCATGAGTTGCGTGGGCTGAGGCATCAGGATGGAGTGTCCGGCGCAGATGAGGAAAGGATGGAATGTTTTGGGCATTGAAGGCTTTCCATGGCTTTCCAGGGAAGTACATAGTGGGGTTCATCCAGTGGTGCCTTAATTTTCGCAAGGCCGCACTTAGACGCCTGGCCAACCCTCGACCAGGAAGGAGGAACCCCAAGACGAGCAGCTAATTGTTTCACGCGTACAACAAGTGATGGAACTGCGTCGTATATTCTTCGCGTACCTGACCTAAAGTCAGGCGGCGCAGTGGGCGAAAACTATGCGTGGCCGAATCCAAGCTGATGAGATCGTGCCCGCATGCCGAGCTAGACCACATCAGTCGTCTTTGGACTAGTTCGTGGTTTCAAATATGTTACCTCATGCAGTTACCAAGGTAGGGGCATGCCTCGACGCCCCTCTGCAACCGCGCAGGCCAGTGGCCCTTCAGGTCAGCAAGGCGACCGAGGACACCGCGGTGCAAGTTGCGGAAGCGCATGAGAGGGCACCTGGCGCAAGAGCGGTGGGTTTCGTGAGAGCTCCATCAGGTGTTTCGGACTCGTTGGAGAAGCTCCAGAGTGTCCTAGGGGCTTCCAGTGCGATGGGGACGCATGCGCGCCCATGGACCAAATTGGACTCTCACCATGGCCCTGCCAGCATATGCGCATCAAACGTGGAACGAGAAACATCGGCAATAAGTCCATGAGGAAGTCCTGATTCCAGACAGAGGAAAGCAGCTAGACACGCACCCAACGTTCAAGGAAGCTCCTTTGTCCAAGCTGCTGCTGGCGCATCAGCATGAAACGGCGATGCCAGAACGAATCCTGGCTCGGGCGCTGGACAGGCCCACCGAGATACGCGCCATCTATCTTCTCCACAGGCACCGAGACGTGGCGGAGGTGGTCATTAGTTTTTTTCGTGTGGTGTTATACATATAGATATACATATATGTATTCGCCACCTGAAGTCTGGGGCGAATCAAGAAGAGTACTGAGTTCGTGTTTACAACGTGTAAAGTTTGTTTACAACGTGTAAGTGCTGTTCGGTTGAAGTTGGTTGGTTTCTGGTTAGAAATGCGGCCTAAACACGTGTAACGTGAGCGGCTAGAACGCCCAGAACAACCCATGACCAACCAGAAAGCAACCAGAAGTCAACCAGATGCACCTACATGGTGTCAAGCCGATCTCGGTTGGCTTGTGGTTCGTTCTGGTTGGAAATGGGGCCAAAACCCGTGTAACTTGGCTGGCGGGTGCCTGCCAACCAGAGGCAACCAAAAGCCAACCATAATCGTTAGTTGGCCGCGGCTGGCCGGCTGACTGGCTGGCAGGCCGGCGGGCTGGCGGGCTGGCTGGCTAACTGGCTGGCTGTCTGGCTGGTTTGCTGGCTGGCTGGCTGGCTGTCTGGCTGGCTGTCTGGCTGGTTTGCTGGCTCGCTGGCTGGCTTGCTGGGTGGCTTCTGGTTAACTTCTGGCTGGCTGGCTGGCTGTCTGGCTGGCTGGCTGGCCGTCCGGCTGCCTGGCCGGCTGCCTGGCTGGTTGGCTGGCTGGGCCCTGGTTGACCTCTGGTTGACTTTTGGCTGG